ATCACTGCAGTCCCTAATGAAGAGTCCATCCCAGCATCCCTATATGCCCCATTCAGATACTGGAAGGCTGCTATGAGGTCTCCACACTGTTCTCCAGGCTGAACAGCCCCAACTTTCTCAGCCTATCTTCATATGGGAGGTTCTCCAATCCGTGACCATCCTTGTGGCCTCCTCTGGACTTGTTCCAACAGATCCATGTCCTTTTTATGTTGAGGACACCAGAACTGCACACAATACTCAAAGTGAGGTCTCACGAGAGCAGAGTAAAGGGGCAGGATCACCTCCTTCGACCCGCTGGTCACACTCCTTTTGATGCAGCCCAGAATACAGTTGGCTTTCTGGGCTGCAAGCGCACACTGAAGCCGGCTCATGTTCATTTTCTCATCGACCAACACCCCCAAGTCCTTCTCCACAGGGCTGCTCTGAATCTCTTCTCTGCCCAGCCTGTAACTGTGTCTGGGATTGCTCCGACCCAGGTGTAGGACCTTGCACTTGGCATGGTTAAACTTCATGAGGTTGGCATCAGCCCACCTCACAAGCGTGTCAAGGTCCCTCTGGATGGCATTCCTTCCCTCCAGCGCATCAACCGAACCACACAGCTTGGTGTCATCGGCAAACTTGCTGAGGGCGCACTCAATCCCACTGTCCATGTCAGCGACGAAGATGTTAAACAAGACAGCTCCCAACACTGATCCCTGAGCTTTTGAACTCTCAATTAGAAGGCTGCTACTTGCTTGCTGCAACTGGTATGGGCTGGTTATAGATTCTGACAAGAGCTGGGCCAAACAAAAGTGGCAAATCCTGAATCCTCCAATTAATAAAGAAACCTGAGACAAAGCCATCAGTCATGAGGCAGATGCGTTGAGCAGGGACATCTATTAGACCAGTTTGCTTAAAGCTCTGTCCAACCTGGCCTTGGACACTGCCAGGGATTTCATTAACCACGATGAAGCATGATATATAGAGCACTGGGCTTTGGTTTCTCAAGGCTGGCAGTTGAAAGCAACCAAAAAAATGTTCTGTTCTGCAAAGCAATTGTATTGGGTATGAAAATGGTCCAAAAAATGAAAAAACTCTGAACTTTCCAATGGCATTTTTATCTCAACATTTAGAGGAATAGATACATCACAGATACAGTTGAGTTCTGGGGTGTTTACAATACCATTTAGGAAAGCTGCTGAAAACTAAGATGCAGAATCAATTCTCCCTATGTGTGCCTGAGCAGATACAGATGGGAGCCCTTCCAAAATAAAACTTTGTTTCTGAGTGCGTATGTTAGAACAGAACCAAAAAGACTTCACTTGCTTCAGTAGTTTTGAGTTCACTCTCAAAGTCAAATCAATCCATCAGGCTCGGAGTCAAAGACTGTCCAGCATAAATTATCCACAGAAGCCATGAAAAGCACTTCACAAAATTCCACATCCACAAATTTAAAGAACTATTGAGCTGTTTAAAAAACACTAAAGGAGCCGTTGTCTAAAGAAAAGATGTGCTGGGCACCTGCGACTGCAAAGTCAGAGAAAGGCCAAACCTGAGCAATCCAACCCACAGTGCAAATTGCCAGTAAGCACACATATGTATGTGTACACACACGTGCACTACACAGAAACAAATGCACACAGCCAGCCACAAAGATCAACACACACTGGAATCCCAGTGCTCTCACATACAGCACCAATGGGCTGGTCCATTTCTCCTCTCTGGCTGATCAGGATGAAAGGCTGTTAGTAGAAAAAATACAAATATACACATATATGCAAAAATACACACATGTACAGATATAGAGAGACACGTTATCAACCTCTCCAGCTTCTGGTGTTAGACATTCAGTCTCCTGCTGCTGACACTGAAGAAAACAGTTATAAATGGAGTTCAGTCAGAAGACAGGAGAGACTGCACTGGTCAGGAATGGGACACGGACAGAGAGACACCTCTACTGACCATCTCCAGCTCACATGTGATTATCTGGCCCCTTTTATGTCTACATTAATACAATCATAGAACTCCATTTTTTCCAAAACACTTTGATCCTTTCACTCCCCACCTTAGGCTCCTGCCCTAAATGCCTAAGTGCAACCCCAAAATACACTTCCCACTTGCCCCACAGAGGCCCTCAGCCTGTGGCTCCCTTTGGACATTTAGACATTAACTCACTTTATAAAGCACCTCCAAAAAGATGCAGAAGCCTGACTTTACCTGAAAAACCTTGGGGAGGAGGTGGGATTTTTCAGGAGTGCTTATGTGACACTGAAATGAGATTCATTATCGATGAAAAGACAGCTCTTGATCTCGTCTGACCACCTCAAGGCACTCACTTGCCATTCCTTGGATAACTTCAAAGGTAAATTCTGCATTAAGAGAGCTATTTCTTCTAGTGATGTAGTAGCGGTGACAGGCAGGATAACAGTGAGTTAGCAGGGTAATATTACTGTAATCTTTATTGATACAGAAGATTTAAGTTACAGAACATTAGGCAAACCCCCCTCTTACTTGCCCAATATTTGAGTATGAACAGTTACAGACAAGAAAATGATCCAGTTACTTACAGCACAGCTAATGATTAAATTACATTAAAACTGTTAACAATATTACATTGCAAAATATGAGTGCATGTACAGTATATAAATATAATAGCTTTCTGTTCCTTGTCAGGAACATAAGCCAATCACATACATCTTTCAGTTTAATTTAGCTTGTGCTAAAGTACATTTCCATCTTAAATATATATTCATGTAAACTGTATCTATTAAATCTCTCAGCTTCACTCCCTGCGTCTTAACTTGCAATTTATATTACAGTACTTTAAAAGCTGAATGAACTCTCTTATTATTCAGAAGAGGTTTCTGTCAGAATTTCCTCTTTTAAATCTTTGGCAATGTTTCACAGGAACTCTCTTATTATTCAGACTTAGTAGGTTTTTATTACATGACATTTTAATCTCATCCAAAGCAAGATAATCTGATTCCTGACTCTTTCTATTTGAAAGAGCAGGCCATGCAAATGCACTGTATGAGTGTTAAAGTAACAGAAGCCCTACACTGTAGGAGAAAATTGACACTGTGCAAAACATATTAATAAACAAAGATTCAAAAGATACAACATTGCTAGACATGACAACACTGACCCGCTGCATAGACACACTACTTCATACCTGCTCAGTCAACGGCAACGCACCGGTTTGAAGATCTGCTCCTTAACAGGCTGCACCCTGGTCAGACGCAGCAGTAAGATGTGTAAGGGTTTGTATTTGAGCCAGGTTATCCATAGCTTGATGGCAAAGATTAGATTCCTCAAACCTAGCAAGCTTCTCAAAAAGTTGCCTGACTTACAGAATGATATGCTCCATTCACCTGGGTATCAAGGCTGCCTATTCAGGTTGTAGATACCCAGTTCAGCAAAGCTTCATTAACAGTACCATGTCACTTGCACTGTCACTAACTCCAAGTGGTCAAGTCCTTCTGCACCCTGGCTGAAGCACCTTCTCAGAGCTGCTCAGTAGGACACAATCGATGCAGAACAGACGGTATGAATGGACATGACAGTCCTTTACTCTCCAAACACACATGGGTGGAAAGATGCAAAAGTACCAAGAAAAATGACCTGCATTTTAATCTTACCAGACCTACTAAAAATGTTCCATGTAGAAGTATTTAAATGTCAATTAAAACATGCTGCACAGAAATACATTCTATGATCAGCATGCAAGGTACAGTTTAGGTAAACAACAGATTCATTACGAAACAGATGGAAACACTTAGATTCAATGTCTTTTAAAACAGTTTAAAGACTAAAAAAACTTTAAGATGAAAAGCTGAAGTTACCTTTTGCTTCTGTTAAGTACCTGTGTTTGCTCCTCTGTGGCACTTTCATATGAAAGGTTTATTCTGCAGTATCATATCTGCAGAGACTCATCCCTTTAAAGTGCCTGCCAAGTATTTAACTTTACCCATGCTACAATGAAAATAACAGCATTATTGTATCTATTTACTTGAACAAACAAAGGCAGTTTGAACTACATGTTAAAACAAATCTTTGTCAGAAATGCCCTCATCAAGATGGAGATGAAAGTGCTGAAATACAGTCACCACATGGTAGATAACTGGGGAAACATTCTGAAGGGAAAATATATAGATGCATAAAGCATTATATTACTGTAGCACTGTAATATGGTTCAGTATTTCTGAGAAATATACTGAAAGCAAGCAAAATGTAACACATATTTCTATCTTAATTTGTATAAATACAGTAGAGAGATTTTAGCAAACCATATTTCTTAGGGGGAGAATGTTACCATTAAAAATATTCCTTAGAAAAAGAAATTTCTTCATAGCAGGAATGATAAATACAGTTCTGTTATCCTACAAAATATAGTGTTTTTAGAAAACAAAACCAGAAAATATAGCTTTATCATTTGGAGTTGAAGTCGTCTATGAAGTATAAGCCCAAAAGCCAAATATGGACCCTGAAAGGTCAGGATTCCAGTTGGGAACTTGGTGTTGCAGCCTTGGCGAACAAATCTCATTTCGACTCAATTACTGGCTCATCAACTTGTTCTGTTTTTCCTTCCAAAATAGACAAAGGAAGCACAAATCAGTAACGGGCATGTTAGTTGGGGCTGTTCAGCCTGGAGAAGAGAAGGCTGCGTGGAGACCTCATAGCAGCCTTCCAGTATCTGAAGGGGGCCTATAGGGATGCTGGGGATGGACTTTTCATTAGGGACTGTAGTGGTAGGACAAGAGGTAATGGGTTAAAACTTAAACAGGGGAAGTTTAAATTGGATATAAGGAGGAAATTCTTTCCTGTTAGGATGGTGAGGCACTGGAATAGGTTGTCCAGGGAAGTTGTGAATGCTTCATCCCTGGCAGTGTTCAAGGCCAGGTTGGTTGAGGCCTTGGGTAATATGGTTTAGAGAGAGGTGTCCCTGCCCATGGCAGGGGGGTTGGAGCTTGATGATCTTGAGGTCCTTTCCAACCCTAACTATTCTATGATTCTATGATTCTATTTAAGGCAGAATATAAGAATGCAAAAATAATGACTGTATGTTCCAATAGAAATATAGATAGGCAGTCTATAGAAAGTCAGTCTACAGACTTCTAGTAACAGATAAAATAATCCAAACAGTATTTCATGCATTTCTATAGCTGAAATCAAGGCTCAAGAAATGGTGTAAAAAATGGTCAGGACAGCAGTTACCTAATGTACAAAAATAAACTGCTTATCATGCAATGTTTTTGCATTATGAAAGTAATATTGCTCTGAGAAACAACATCCTGCAACTTTTCATTCAAAATTCAAAGGGATATATAATTGCTTTCTAAAAAATACTGTATTTTCACATGTATACCCTAGGTCTCATGAACTGTACCTCTCCACAGAGCACCAGTAGTTGAAAGCAAGTCCTGAGTCATTTCTTCAGACAACCTGCAGGCAGGTGGCATTATTGAAGTAAGGGCTTCAAAACAGACATCCCTGGTGACCCCCCAGCTCACAGTGCTGTGGAATCATAAGCTCTTTCACAAATAACTCATACCTTTTATGTAAGAGAGTATGGCAAAAGCTCCATTCTAGAAAGTTTTGTCTCGTATTTCCCTTCCTCATACAGAAATTAACATTGTGAATCTTTAAGCTGCTCTGGACAGTCAGACCTCTGTGGCTCTACTGAGCATCACAGTTGCCATTTCCCTGGAGCAGGTGTCTGGCATGCTGAACATCTCATGGTACAGAAACATACAGTAACAGATCACATAAGGTGGCAAGAACACTCCTAACTAGCTAACTTTTAGCCTAATAAAAGGCCCATCCTTTACCTCTAAACCTTACCCTACAGTCTTGTCCATTCTTCAGCTTGGACATTAAGATGGTCAGCATGAAAGAAATGCCTTTATGCTTACTGTCATGTAAGCCACCAGTAGCAGCAGCCTGCTACGCTAGCCACAGACAGCTTGAGCCTTCCAGTTACTTGAAACCCCTCCGTTGGAGCCAATGTAAAAAGACTGAACAAGCGTCACAGTCATTCTGAACAGTACTCTGATTCCAGACATAGTGACTCCCAGGAACCAGAGCCAGGCAACTGCAACTACCCAAGAACTTCTCCACAGCACACATTCAAGTCCCCAGAAAGGCAATGAAAAACACAGCTGCTCTATTTTGCAACTGCAGTGCCCCTGGTTCACTGGGGTGCGATTCACCCCATCAGAGGCAGCAAGAGAAGGTCCATGCATTACCAAGCTCCCACTCCAACCCTTACAACAGAGCTGGAGTGAAAACAGTTATGCCTAGACTTGCTACCTGGATACGATGAATGGGCTGACTTCCATCTTTTCTGACAAAGAAGGAATCCTGACTTCTTTATTAAAAGAATATTCTTGCAAATAACCTAAAATCATGTTTCCTTCCTATTTTCATGTATATACTTTAAATCCTGACATTAATTCAGTTTTTCACTACATGAGCAGAGGCTGGGAGCAAAGGAGTTAATTCCGGTAGCAGATGGGAAGGAATGAAGGAAACAACAAGCAACAGAATAAGAAAAGGCTGCATGCTATTTTTCAAAATTTCATTTAAAATCCATTGGAATTTGTCCCATCCATAGGTCTGCCATCCATCTAGGATTTCTTGTTAAAAGAATCAAGTTCACAGTGCCTGGTTATTACTGTAAACCAGCCGCCATGTTTGTAACATTGACATCTGCAGCGATGCTCTCTGTTGCATTCGCTAGAACTCTGGATGCAGGATAAATGATTTCTTCAACTGTCACATACGTCCCTGTTAAAAATCCAACAACTCCAATGACAGCTATAAAAATGTCTTTGAATACTGTCCACAAATTTAAGTTTTCCTTGTAGAAAGTGAGGATTTCAACCAGAGGTGGCAGAATCAGTGCCAGAGTGCTGCTGCTGACGGCTCCAACAAAAGAAATCACCAGGTCTAGGCGAGGGATCAAAACAGCTACAGCACCTGAAACACAAGAATAACAATGGTTGCATCAGATTCAACATCCTCATGAAAAACAAAACGATGACAAACGCATCTTCTAGTGGTTCAGGCTGCCTAAAAAGTTTTATCATTCACTATTTTTCCAGCTACAAGTGGTGTGCCCTATATACTTGTCTTGACTCTAGCTTATTAACACTTCATGATTGTACAGATACATGATAGGCATCTTGTATCTGGGCAGAGAAAGAGGTGTCCTTCAGGTAACCTTAGGAACACCCAACACTCAAAAATAGGTAAGATAAGTCTTCTATCCCATTGTTACGATGGAACCTACTCAATACCAGTTTTTTCCACTGCATGAATATGACATTTAAAGACTGGAAATGCCAAACGTTTATGCATTAACTAGGACAAAGCTGAATAAAATGAGAAAGGAATTATGCCAAAGTTAATAAAAGTCACAAAGTACCCACACCTCTGTAACTTTTGCAGCCACAATTCCATTCAAGCCATAAATTCAGGCCCTGTGAATGCCTAAATAATACAGGATGAGCACTCAGACCAGACTGACTGGCAAGTGTGCTTGATAGCTGCACAGCAATGCACAGTCCATAAGTAACTTAAAAGTGCAGCACAAGCATATTTTCAATGTCTGGTAAAACTCTCAGCTAATGAACATGTTGAATGTGTTCTTCTGAAGTGTAAGAGATGGCTGCAGATTTAAAACTGTTAAAAGAACCCTTTTCTCAACTTAATTTCTGAAAAAGCATGCTTTTTCATACAGCTCAATCTCTAAAACAAAACTAAGGAGAAAAAGGAACAAAGCAGAAGATAAACTGCATTTATACTATGAGGTGACAAATTCTACTTTCATGGGTGAAAGATGAAGAGGTATAGCTTGCCCACAAGACAACCACACACACCATATGGCTTGGCTTTATTCCCTTTGGAATGGAAAACTCTTTTATCATTATCTTCCTGCAGCATACACTATGCAGAGATAGAAAGTACTTCACATCATTCGTCCTCACACTGCAACGATTGCTTTGTCCAATGTTACTAGGGAAGACTACACTCACACAGGAGAAGATGGTTTCTTTACCTGAAACATCTTTGCCCTTTACAATGACAGGTAATCCAGGTCACTGTCCCAACACAGAGCAGAGCCATAATGACCTGTTCAAGGAAAGGGCAGATCCATCCCTTTCCCAGAACCGTCCATATCAGTTTCTCAAATGTATGTAAGTAAATTCACTTTTTACAGCACTTTGCATCAGATTTCAAAGCTGTTTACAAAAGGTTTTATAGTTACATTCTTTTTATCCTTATGCAGAAAGATACATAAAGAATGACATCAGAATAAACAGTGATTTAACTCAGGTAACATCCCTTTTGGATGGCAACATACAAAGCAAACCAGGCAGCAAGACACTAAGGAACATTCTCACGCTGCAGGCATGAGCTGCAACACCAAGTGATCTTCATAAAACCAGCAAGCAAAAGGTGTCTGCCACAGCACATGCTGGATTATGCGCAAATGTCTTTCACAATTTAATTAACTACAATCCATGGGCTCAGAAATGACATCTGGTTAGGCTGTTACACCTGAAATGTTGTATTTATTTGTCTCTACAGTAAATTTGTTTGAGCTTTGCTACTGATACTTTATCATACAAGCCTCTTTAGACATACTTCAGTGAAATAATGTAGATAATTGATAGATGCAGCTAGATTTAACAAATAGATGTAAAGCATGCAGCTAAATTCACTAAGATTGAGTTCTAAATGGATGATCCTATACCTTTACAGTACTGACAACCTTCCTACTGTCAATCACTTTCCTTCAGCCACCCATTTCTACAGACCCACCAGAAATGAGTCTGCAATTGAAATTCTGTCCTCTTGTTCTCAGTCTCTTAAAATGAATTACAGTTCTGAGACAGCTAAAGGGCTCCCAACAGTGCAAGCAAAACCTAATGTTTACTGGTTTTGCTGGAGGGAGCAGAGATGAAGAAAAGAGTAGAGAGCAGTGGCTAAGCCTTGAAGAGCTGGCCTTGCTGCTTCCAACGCTGCTAGAAAGTCCTATTTCCCTCCACTCACCATCATTACACCAGACTCCCCAGTCTTTGTCTTGGATATGTTACATATATCAAGCTATGTCACAGGAAAATCCGCAGTGATCCATGATTAATGAGTTGCCTCACACACAGCAAAAGCAAGATCCAGACAACAATAAGTCAAAATAATTTTATATAAAGAAGTTTGTCTTGCCCTCACCTTTGGAAATAAAGAATTCATTATATACCTTTTGATTACTACATAAAGTGAGGAAACAACAGAGTTGCCTTTGCCTCAGTCATTCTCCCAGCCCCTGTGATCAGTGAAAATGTTCAACAAGAACTATCACCACTGGATGAGGATTGAATCAGGGATTACTTGAGAGAACTCAAACCATAAAGGTATACAGGACACGATGGGTTGTATCCAAAAGAGTTCAAGACAAGGGGGAATGGGTTTAAACTTAAACAGGGGAAGTTCAGGTTAGATATAAGGAAGAAGTTCTTTACTGTGAGAGTGGTGAGGCACTGGAACACATTGCCCAAAGAAGTGGTAAATGCTCCATCCTCAGCAGTGTTCAAGGCCAGGCTGGACAGAGTCTTGAGAGACATGGTTTAGTGTGAGGTGTCCCTGCCCACAGCAGGGGGTTGGAATTAGATGATCTTAAGGTCCTTTCCAATTCCAATATCCTATGACTCTAAGAGAACTGGCGAATGTCCTTCTAACACAACTCTATATTGTCCTTGAAAGGTCATGGAGACTGGGGGATATCCCTGGTGACTGGGGGAAAGTAAGCATCAAGGCCAAAAGTATAATCCAGGGAAATACAGCCAAGTCAGATTCACTTTTGTCCTTGGGAAAAAATCAAGGAGCAAATAATCTGGAGCACACTTTTGAGAAAAGAGTGTCTAGAAACAGAAAATGGATTTCTGTATGATAAATCATGCTTGACCAATGACTGATTTATGGATATTGGTACAATGACTTGATTTATGGACGGGGGAAGAGCAACAGGTGTCATTTACCTTAACTTTAGAAAGGTCTTTGACATTGCCTGCCACAATATTCTTGTATCTGGATGGAGGGAAACCAGATGGGTAAAAAACTCACTAGACAAAAGAATAGTGGTTAATGAGTCAGCCTGAAGGCTGGTAAAAATCCTGCAGCTAGTAGGGAAAAGTAAAAGCTCCCTGTAACTGATAAAAACATGAACTGATCACTTAAGATGACATGAATGATGTTCTTTAAGCCTAGAAAGTGATAGTGTGCTCACTACAATCATAGAATAGAATCATACAATAGTTAGGGTTCAAAAGGACCTTAAGATTATCTAGGTCCAACCCCCTGCCACGGGCAGGGACACCTCACACTAAACCATGCCACCCAAGGCCTCGTCCAACCTGGCCTTGAACACTGCCAGGGATGGAGCATTCACAATCTCCCTGGGCAACCCATTCCAGTGCCTCACCACCCTAACAGGAAAGAATTTCTTCCTTACATCCTATCTAAAGCTCTCCTGTTTAAGTTTGAACCCTAACCCTAACCCCTTGTCCTGTCACTACAGTCCCAAATGAAGAGTCCCTCCCCAGCATTCCTATAGGCTCCTTTCAGATATTGGAAGGCTGCTATGAGGTCTCCATGCAGCCTTCTCTTCTCCAGGCTGAACAGCCCCAACTTTCTCTGCCTATGTCCCTATAGCACAAAGTGACAGTGTTGAAGGTGAGCCAACATCCTATTTAAGTCCAAATTAATTTATATCATTGATCATTAATCATAATTCAAAGCTGGATTAAAATTAGTATTTCAAAAGTGATAATTCACAGGGGTTTTTATTTCTGAAGTAAAATGGCTTAAAAATATATTAATTCTTAATTTCAAATGATGTATCATACTATGCAAATAACAGCAGTGCTAAGCACCCTACAAACCAAATACTTTAGTCCCCAGTGAAATTTTAGCCCCTTCTATATGAGAAGCCACACTATCTTAAAAGCTTTTCATAAAAAGCAAATGCTTGGATTAAGTATCTGAATTGGCCTGCTTATTTGGGGCTGGAAAAAGGCAGAGGGCTTTGTTATGATCAGTACTTATTGCATAGGGCGTGTTCTATTATTAATACTGACATGCTAATAAATAACTTCTGAATTTACTGCAACTATCAAAAGTAAATTAAAAAATATTGCCCATAAAGAGATAAGAATCCCACTGCAGTGGATGACCAATCCATTTCCAGAGTAATGCTTAGCAACAGCTGGTGTCACCGGCACAAGTTAGTTAAAGCCTGCTGTGTTGATTGATGATATAGAAAAAACAAGCTGCCAAGTGCCTTGGCTTCCCAGGGAGAGCCACGTGCAGAAGCTAGTTGAGGTTCAGCTCCCTGTGCTGCCAACCTTAGGGAGATTAAGCACTGAATTATGGCCTGCAGTCCAAATCCATCAAAAATTGCAGTCATCTGCAGATGTTTTTAATCTTGATTTGCTGGCATTTCACCTTGCAAAGTAAAGATCAGAGAGAGCAGCTTGCTTCATCGTGTACAGAAACTCAAGTGCATTAGCTGCCTGCAGCTCAGAATGGGGAAATGCAGGAGCACCATGTGTCAGAAGCACAGTTCTCTCCCACAGTCAGCTCAGGGAGAGGTGTGCTCACTGCAGGCTGGGGCTTACTGCACAGGTCAATCCTTAGGAAAAAATACTAAATTTACATGTGTTTCATGAATGATTTTTAATTCAGTAATCCCACAGAAAATAAATAATCACAATTATTGATTTCACATCAAGCTATTTTGATTGCCAGCAATCGTATATTCATCTTTTTTTTCTAATAACCAGACCTCTCAAATAATATGTCCTTTTCACATGACAGTGAACACTTATCACTTTCTAATAGCAGTAAGTAAATCTCATTGTCACATCATTGCTAATATTTATTTTACTTCTGGTAAGCCCAAAATTAGCCATCATCAT